GTACAGTTATAAGCACCTTAATTGGGTTATAGGTATTTATAAGTATAGTTACCTTATGTATAGCCCTAGTTACTAAGTCCCATGAACCTTTAAGCAAAGCCCTGAACCCTGAAAACTTGGGAAAACCTGAAGTTGGACCGCAGAACTTCGCTGACCATCAGCTCGGGAGAGTAGCCCTTGATGGGACCTGCTTGGACTGCTACTTAAAGGTTCATGAGACTGAGTAACTAGGGTTATAAAAATAAGGTAACTATACTTATAACTACCTATAACCCCAATTAAGGTACTTATAACTGTACTTAATAAGTCCCATGAGCCTCCAAGTAGGAGCCTTAATGATTAGAAGAGGGCCATTTATATTATAAGTTCGGGATCTTGAATTTTGGGCTCTGTGGCTTGAGGCATGCGGTTTCCTGGAGATTCCCCTTTCCAAATGCTTCAGTTGCAAGGTTAAGTCAGGCAACTACTACTGCGGCTGCTACCAGAAGAATGCTGTACACTGTACATGGCAGCAACTGCAGCGCGCGGTGGAAACGCGGCTTTGACAGGCTTCAGCTCCTTTTGCCGGAGCAGTCCCGAGTCTGCAGCTGCTGCTTGGGTTTTGGGATGTGTTACACTATAGGTATATAGGGCCTATGAGGGAATACTACTATGAGTGCAGGTTTCTTTGGCAACGGCTTCGGGTGCTTCTGCCGAGCAGTCTGCATCATGTGGGTTCACATTGCATGCAGCAATGTTCCCAGGTCCATTATCAAGCAAAGAACCTCAATCTAAATGCACAGGACTTATGCAACTATCCACTATTTGGTCTTCGCATGAGCACGGCAGGAAACTGACAATCTTCCCTAAGCGGGATGGTGATGTCCTTGACTTTCTCGAATCCCAAAGATGCGTAGAACGACTGAGCAGTGAGTGTGCTTAACACTTCCATGCTGGGTCGATCGTCAAGACTCGCCGCATACTTGCACCAATCCTCCCAAGTCCGATCCCAAATTGCCTTCCCGACACCCTTCCTGAGTTGTCTTGGATCCGTTGCGAAATGGCGCAAGTGGGGGATATCTTCGCCAAAGGGCGACTTCGGCGTCCAACCTCCACAACCGACGATGGCGCCGGTGTCGGGATCCTCCACGACGTACCATGTCGAGGAAGTCAACAACTCTGGTCGTGTTTGGCATATTAGAGGCAGGGCAGTCTCCAGCATCTCCGGCGCATAGTCACCAGCCAGGAGATTTGAGTACGACAAATGCAGAAGATTGTCCACGGCTTCTTTGTCGCTGGCGTCCGCTGGCCGAACAATCCAGTTGACCTTTTTGTAACTGCTTGCCATAAAGCCAGTGCCTGTTCCTAGTATCAAGGAGGCAATCAGAACTGCTATCACAGCTGCAGATTTCATGATGGAAATCAGCTGCGGTTTGTGTTAAGTTTTGTGGGGCAATCATGTGCCGCTTCGATGAAGGCAAAAAGATGGATCTGTTCTTGTTCGAACTCATCACCCAAGCATCGACAGATCTAGGGAGGATACTTGATTGATTGATCGATTGGTTAAAGAATTCATTCACCTGGCTATCTATTACCATGCCTGCGACTGCCTTTCAAACATCACCCTCGTGATTTGCACTTGATCACCGTGCCTTGAACCCTAATTAAGCCCTAAACCCTAAACCCAGAACCCGAAACCCGAAACGCTAAACCCGAAACCCTACACCCGGAACCCCTTAACCCTAAAACCCGAAACCCTAACCCCAAACCCTCCCTCCTCCCGTGAGCTTCTTCGTTTCCTTTGGACTTCGAAGCTCATATCTGCGTTCCTCTTGCGACTTGAACCGACTTGGACCCTTCAAAAAGCCCCTCTCACATTAAATTCTCTTAATAAATTATATCGTAATATCATAGTATGTCGTATGCCAAAATGTAACAGATCATATACGAATGATCAATTTATTTATACGTTTACTCATTCATCTATGTGTTTCTTTATGAACCTTATTGTCATTCCTGCGCTCAGTATATCACTCAATTTTGCCAGCAGTCTGTCTCGGAGGTTGATTCGATTAGCTTCTGCCGGAGAGCATTGTTCTCGGGCCTGAATTTGGCAACTCCGCTGTCGTTGTCGTTGTTCTCGTCTCTTTGTCTGTTGTAGCTCCTCGCCTCCATAAGATCAGCAATAATAATCATAAACAGTAAATATTCAATATAGAATATAATGAACTATACCATGTCGCGAAGTTGCTTCGAGTCAACTCAACTTGGCACTGTTCGATCTCCTTTTTCCGAAATCCACTCAATGTCGTTCATGCTCAAGATGACCTGCTCCTTCTCACGGGTCAGTTGGGCAATGTTGACTTCCGTGAAGTGCTCGAAACCCTCGACCCTGGATACTCTGAACCCTACACCTTAAACCGTACACCCTAAACCCTAAACCCTAAACCCTAAACCCTAAACCCTAAACCCTACACCTTAAACCGTACACCCTAACCCAACTCCCTTTGCCAGGCCTGTCGCAGACTCCTGCCAAGGGCGGCTCATCTCTTGCCAGCGCTTTCGGTCTTGAGGTTTGGGAGAGCCCTATACTGAGATCACCAAGACCATGATTTTTTTAAAAAAGAACTCAATCATTTCGCCGGTACAAAAACAAGCACAGTGGTATAAATAGTTCGTCGTGCTTACCATAACAATGCCAGCAGCAGTAGCCCGAACAGAAATAGTAGCAGCAGTGGTACTGGTAGTGATAGTGGTAGCAGTCCTGCTGCTGCAGTAGCGGTGCCTGTGGTGATGGTAGTGGCGGCGGAGTTGCAGTGGCAGAACTCGTGGCGGCGGGTGGGCAGCAGAACTTGCAAGAGCAATCCGGCGTCCTCCGTGCACATGTACAGCAGCTCCGCGCCGACACGCAGCGCCGCCATGCCGGCATAGTAGGGGGCCCCTCGTGCTGTCGGGTCTTGGGGTTTGGTTTGGGGTCCGTTTCAGGATTTTGGGCTTTGAGTTTCGAAGGGCGGCCGGAGGGCTATGCAATCACCAGTGCGACTGATGGGTTCTAGGAGTTGGAGCGTCAGGAAATCAGGTTCAGAGCTTCAGGTCATGGGCTCGGGCTGCGAGTTGCTGGCTCCAGTGACCCTTAAACCCTGAACCCTATATTTCTAAGTTGTCCTTTAAGCCCTTTGAAAATTATTACTATTATGGTTCTCTACAAAATAGTAAGGGAAATTAAAAAAGATCCCGAAAGACAACCCAGATTTTCAAAACTGCTGCACCCTGAATTGAGCACTCCAGTGCGGCAACCCGATGCACCCAGCCTGCTCCCTCTTCGTGTCTTCTTTGGGCCGTGAGGCACTGGCCGCAATCCCTTGAATATTGGGCTTCTATACGGCTTCTATATGGTATATAGACCTTCTATCAGGCTCCTATAATGGTAACTACCCACCTGAACATGTCCTAGACTTGACCCCTCACCTTAAACGTCGAAACCTTCGTCCCACATGGTCCGAAAAGCCAACTACCCTAAAACCGGGTGCAGGTTCACGACACAAACGAATATGCTCGTGTGGAAAATCCTGCACACCTTTCAACACTATGGTTATAGCAATTCAGCAGACTCTCCCTGTATTCATAGTGAGCCTGACCTTATCCCTAACCGCCTAACCCTAAACCTCAAGCTCTGCCTCTTCAGCTTTGTTCTAGTCTACCTGAAACCCAGATGCTGATCTCTAAACCCTAAACACCCTAAACCCCTAAACCCCAAACTCTAAACCCTAAACCTTCCTGTTCCAATGTTCTCGCCCGCGATTCTTTCGGCATGCCTGCAAAGTCAGGAGAGCCGCCCAGCACGCCGATCCTGCCTTCATCGCGACTGGAGGGCACCCTAAACCCTAAACCCTAAACCCTAAACCCTAAACCCTGAACCCTGAACCCTGAACCCTAAACCCTAAACCCTAAACCCTTGAAACCCAAAGGCCCTGAGAGCGGTAAGCTGGCCATCATCTAGTCCTACATCCACGGAGGAAAGGGTTTAGGGTTCAGGGCTTAGGGCTCCGGGTT